AATGATATGTAAATGACCCCCAGGTTGGGGTGCTCCCCCATCCCCGCCCCCTGCGCCCCCTCCCCACGGGACCCCCACGAGTGTCGGCGCCTCCGGAGCTGCAGCGAGTGCCTGGCCCAGCACCCCCTGGGGGGCGCGGTGAGACCCCAAAAACACCCCAAAAACACCCCAAAAATGTCCCAAAAATATCCCCAAAATATCCCAAAAATATCAAAAAAATATCCCCAAAATATCCAAAAAATATTCCCAAAATATCCCCAAAAACAGCCCCAAAATAGCCCAAAAACAGCCCAAAAATATCCCAAAAATATCCCCAAAATATCCCCAAAACAGCCCCAAAACAGACCAAAAACAGCCCAAAAACATCCCCGAAACAGCCCAAAAATATCCCAAAACCAGCCCAAAATATCCCAAAAATATCCCCAAAAAACCAAAAAAAAATCCCCAAAATATCCCCAAACCAGCCCAAAAATATCCCCAAAAACAGCCCCAAAATACCCCCAAAATATTCCCAAAATATCCCAAAAACAGCACAAAAATATCCCCAAAACATCCCTAAAACCCCATTTTTTTTCCCGAAATCCACAGTTTTTTCACCAAAAATTCCAAATTTTTCCAATTTTTTCCCAAAATCCCCATTTTTTCACCCAAACCTCCCCAAAACCCCAATTTTGGACACCCTGAGACCCCAAAACCTCCCCAGGACTGAGACCCCCCAAAACCGCCCCAAAATCCCCATTTTTTCACCTAAAATCCCCATTTTTTCACCTAAAATCTCCAAATTTTTTTCCCAAAATCCCCATTTTTTCACCCAAACCTCCCCATAACCCCAATTTTGAACATCCAAGACTTCTTGACACCTTCAAAAACCCCATTTTTTTTTTCACAAAAACTCCCAGAAAATCCCCATTTTTCCACCGAAAATCCCCATTTTTTCACCTAAAATGTCCAAATTTTTTCCCAAAATCCCCATTTTTTCACCCAAATCTCCCCATAACCTGAATTTTGGACATCCAAGACTCCTTAATACCCTCAAAAACCCCATTTTTTTTTTCACAGAAACCTCCGGAAAATCCCCATTTTTCCACCGAAAATCCTCATTTTTTCACCTAAAATCTCCATTTTTTTTCCCAAAATCCCCATTTTTTCACCCAAATCTCCCCATAACCCCAATTTTGGACATCCAAGACTCCTTGAGACCCTCAAAAACCCCTTTTTTTTTTCACAAAAACCCCCATAAAATCCCCATTTTTCCACCTAAAATCCCCATTTTTTTCACCCAAAATCCCCATTTTTTTTCCCAAAATCCCCATTTCTTTCACCAAAAATCCCAAATTTTTCCCATTTTTTTCCAAAATCCCCATTTTTTCACCCAAAACTCCCCAAAAATCCCAATTTTGGACAGTCAGGACCCCCTGAGACCCCAAAACCTCCCCAGGACTGAGACCCCCCAAAACCACCCCAAAATCCCCATTTTTTCACCTAAAATCCCCATTTTTTCACCCAAAATCCCCATTTTTTCACCTAAAATCCCCATTTTTTCACCCAAAATCTCCATTTTTTCACCCAAAATCTCAATTTTTTTTCCAAAATCCCCATTTTTTCACCCAAACCACCCCAAAATCCAAATTTTGGACATCCAAGACTCCTTGACACCCTCAAAAACCCCATTTTTTCCACAAAAACCCCCATAAAATCCCCATTTTTCCGCCTAAAATCCCCATTTTTTCACCCAAAACCCCCATTTTTTTTTTGTTTTTTTCCCAAAATCCCCTTTTTTCTCCCCAAACAGGGTCCCCCGGCGTGCAAGTGGTGCACCAACTGCCCCGAGGGCGCGGCACCGAGCCCGGGACCCCCAAAACCTCCCCAGAGCCCCGAGACCCCCCAAAAACCCCCAAATCCCCTTTTTTCCCCAAATTCCTCCTTTTTACCCCTAAATCCCCATTTTTTCACCCAAAATCTCCATTTTTTTTTCCCAAAATCCCCATTTTTTCACCTAAAATCCCCATTTATCCCAATTTTGGACACCCGGGACCCCCTGAGACCCCAAAACCTCCCCAGGACTGAGACCCCCCAAAACCGCCCCAAAATCCCCATTTTTTCACCTAAAATCCCCATTTTTTCACCTAAAATCTCCATTTTTTCACCTAAAATCCCCATTTTTTTTTCCCAAAATCCCCATTTTTTCACCCAAATCTCCCCATAACCCCAATTTTGAACATCCAAGACTCTTTGAGACCCTCAAAAACCCCATTTTTTTTTTCATGGAAACCTCCAGAAAATCCCCATTTTTCCGCCTAAAATCCCCATTTTTTCACCCAAAATCTCAATTTTTTTCCCAAAATCCCCATTTTTTCACCCAAATCTTTCCATAACCCCAATTTTGAACATCCAAAACTCCTTGACACCCTCAAAAACCCCATTTTTTCCACAAAAACCCCCATAAAATCCCCATTTTTTCTTCTTTTTTCCCCATTTTTCCACCTAAAATCCCCATTTTTTCACCGAAAACCCCCATTTTTTTTTTGTTTTTTTCCCAAAATCCCCGTTTTTCTCCCCAAACAGGGTCCCCCGGCGTGCAAGTGGTGCACCAACTGCCCCGAGGGCGCGTGCATCGGGGCGGGCTCCAGCTGCCGCCGGGAGAACGACTGTCGCATCAACCAGCGCGAAATCTTCGCGCCCCAAAACTGCTCCGAGGCCGCCTGCGGGGCCCCCGACTGCCCCCGGTGCGCCGGCGCCGGCAGGTGCATGTGGACAAGGCAGTTCAAGAGGACAGGTGGGGAATTTTGGGAATTTTTTGGGAATTTTTGGGAATTTTTTTGGATTTTCTGTGAATTTTTGATGATTTTTTGGGGGTTTTTGTGGATTTTTTGGGGATTTTGTGAAGGTTTCAGGGGATTTGGGGAGGTTTGAGGAGTGGACCCGGTAGTTCAAGAAGACAGGTGAGTGATTCCCAAAAAATTCCAGGGATTTTTGGGAATTTTCGGGGATTTTTGGCGATTTTTGGCAATTTTTTGGGGATTTTTGGCGATTTTTTGGAGATTTTTAGACGATTTTTTGGGGATTTTGGGAGACTTTTGGTGATTTTGGGAGGTATCGGGAGGTTTGAGGAGTGGACTCGGCAGTTCAAGAGGACAGGTGAGCAATTTTGGGAATTTTTGGGAATTTTCGGGAGTTTTGGGGGATTTTTGGCGATTTTTTTGGGATTTTTGGTGATTTTTTTGGGATTTTTTGGGGATTTTTGGTGATTTTGGGAGGTATCAGGAGGTTTGAGGAGTGGACAGGCAGTTCAAGGGGACAGGTGAGCAATTCCCAAAAAATTCCAGGAATTTTTTGGAATATTTGGGATTTTTGGGGATTTTTGGGGATTTTTAGGGGGTTTTAGGGAGTTTGGGGGGTTTGGGGTGGATTTGGGGGTTTGCGGGGCCCCCGACTGCCCCAGGTGTGCCAACGCCGGCAGGTGCATGTGGACACGCCAGTTCAAGAGGACAGGTGGGGAATTTTGGGAATTTTGGGAAATTTTCTGGGATTTTCGGGAATTTTTTGGGAATTTTTTTTGATTTTTAGGGGATTTTTTGCAAATTTTGGGGATTTTTTGGAGATTTTGGGGGGGTTTTGGGAGATTTTTGGTGATTTTGGGATGTTTGAGGAGTGGACCCGGCAGTTCAAGAGGACAGGTGAGGAATTCCGGGAATTTTCGGGAATTTTTTGGGAATATTTGGGATTTTTGGGGGATTTTCTGTGGACTTTTGGGGATTTTTTTTGATTTTTTGGTGATTTTGGGATGGCATCAGGAGGTTTGAGGAGTGGACTCGGCAGTTCAAGAGGACAGGTGAGCAATTCCCAAAAGATTCCATGTTTTTTTGGGAATATTTGGGATTTTTGAGGATTTTTTGGGATTTCTTGGGGGATTTTAGGAAGTTTGAGGTGGATTTGGGGAGATTTTTGGTGGATTTGGGGGTTTGCGGAGCCCCCGACTGCCCCCGGTGCGCCGGCGCCGGCAGGTGCATGTGGACAAGGCAGTTCAAGAGGACAGGTGGGGAAATTTGGGAATTTTTGGGAATTTTCGGGGATTTTTGGCAATTTTTGGCAATTTTTTGGGGATTTTTGGCGATTTTTTAGGATTTCTGCGGCGTTTTTTTGGGATTTTGGGACAGTTTCAGGGGATTTGGGGAGGTTTGAGGAGTGGACTCAGCAGTTCAAGAGGACAGGTGAGGGAATTTCGGGAATTTTTGGGAATTTTCGGGAACTTTGGGGGAGTTTTTGGGGATTTTTGGCGATTTTTTGGGGATTTTAGGAAGTTTCGGGAGGTTTTTGGGTGGTTTAGGGGGGATTTGGGGCCATTCCAGGAGGTTTGAGGAGTGGACTCGCCAGTTCAAGAGGACAGGTGGGGAATTCCCAAAAAAATTCGGGGATTTTTGGGAATATTTGGGTCCAGGTGAGACCCGGCCCCAATACAGACCAGTAAGAACCAGTACAGACCAGTGAGGCCAAACTGGGGGGGTTCCCTGAATCCTTTACCTGTGAATGCCAACCTGTGCCCAGGTGAGACCTCACCTGTGCCCACCTGTGCCCACCTGTGCCCAGGTGAGACGCAGCACATCCTGAGCGTGGGTCTGGGATGAATTAGGGACCAGTACAAACCAGTACAAACCAGTACAGACCAGTGAGGCCAAACTGGGGGGGTTCATTGAACCCTTTACCTGTGAGACCTCACCTGTGCCCACCTGTGCCCACCTGTGCCCAGGTGAGACCTGACCCATCCTGACCATGTACCTGGGATGAACTGGGGACCAGTAAGAACCACCAAAATCAAACTGGGGGGGTTTCCCTGAACTCTTTACCTGTGAATGCCCAGGTGAGACCTGACCTGTGCCCACCTGTGCCCACCTGTGCCCACCTGTGCCCAGGTGAGACCTGAACCATTCTGAGCGTGGGGCTGGGATGAATTAGGGACCAGTACAGACCAGTAAGAACCACCAAAATCAAACTGGGGGGGTTTCCCTGAACTCTTTACCTGTGAATGCCAACCCGTGCCCAGGTGAGACCTCACCTGTGCCCACCTGTGCCCACCTGTGCCCAGGTGAGACCCGCCCCATCCTGAGCGTGGGGCTGGGATGAATTAGGGACCAGTAAGAACCAGTAAGAACCACCAAAATCAAACTGGGGGGGTTCCCTGAACTCTTTACCTGTGAGTGCCAACCTGTGCCCACCTGTGCCCACCCGTGCCCAGGTGAGACCTGACCCATCCTGAGCGTGGGGCTGGGATGAACTGGGGACATTTAGTGACCAGTACAGACCAGTACAAACCAGTAAGAACCACTAAAACCAAACTGGGAGGGCTCCCTGAACTCTTTACCTGTAAGACTTCACCTGTGCCCACCTGTGCCCACCTGTGCCCACCTGTGCCCAGGTGAGACCCGCCCCATCCTGAGTGTGGGGCTGGGATGAATTAGGGACCAGTACAGACCAGTACAAACCAGTGAGGCCAAACTGGGGGGGTTCCCTGAAGCTTTACCTGCCCGTGCCCACCTGTGCCCACCTGTGCCCACCCGTGCCCAGGTGAGACCCGTCGCATCCTGAGCGTGGGGCTGGGATGAATTAGGGACCAGTACAAACCAGTACAAACCACTAAAACCAAACTAGGAGGGTTCCCTGAACTCTACCTGTGAGTGCCCAGGTGAGACTTCACCTGTGCCCACCTGTGCCCAGGTGAGACCTGAACCATCCTGACCATGTACCTGGGATGAATTAGGGACCAGTAAGAACTACCAAAATCAAACTGGGAGGGTTCCCTGACTCCCTTACCTGTGAATGCCAACCTGTGCCCAGGTGAGACCTCACCTGTGCCCACCTGTGAATGCCCACGTGTGCCCACCTGTGCCCAGGTGAGACCTGACCCATCCTGAGCGTGGGGCTGGGATGAATTAGGGACCAGTACAGACCAGTACAGACAAGTGAGGTCAAACTGGGGGGGTTCCCTGAACTCTTTACCTGTGAATGCCCACCTGTGCCCACCTGTGAATGCCCACCTGTGCCCACCTGTGCCCAGGTGAGACCTCACCTGTGCCCACCTGTGCCCACCTGTGCCCAGGTGAGACCTGAACCATCCTGACCATGTACCTGGGATGAATTAGGGACCAGTACAGACCAGTAAGAACCACTGAAGTTAAACTGAGGAGGGGTTCCCTGAAGCCTTTACCTGCCCATGCCAACCCATGCCCACCTGTGCCCACCTGTGCCCAGGTGAGATGCGGCGCATCCTGAGTGTGGGTCTGGGATGAATTAGGGACCAGTACAAACCAGTACAGACCAGTGAGGCCAAACTGGGAGGGTTCCCTGAACTCTTTACCTGTAAGACTTCACCTGTGCCCACCTGTGCCCACCTGTGCCCAGGTGAGACCTGACCCATCCTGACCATGTACCTGGGATGAACTGGGGACATTTAGTGACCAGTAAGAACCAGTAAGAACCACCAAAATCAAACTGGGGGGGTTCATTGAACCCTTTACCTGTGAGTGCCCAGGTGAGACCTGACCTGTGCCCACCTGTGAGTGCCCACCTGTGCCCAGCTGTGCCCAGGTGAGACCCGCCCCATCCTGAGCGTGGGGCTGGGATGAATTAGGGACCAGTACAGACCAGTAAGAACCAGTAAGAACCACTGAAATTGAACTGGGGGGGGTTCATTAAACCCTTTACCTGTAAGACTTCACCTGTGCCCACCTGTGCCCACCTGTGCCCACCTGTGCCCAGGTGAGACCCGACCCATCCTGAGCGTGGGTCTGGGATGAACTGGGGACATTTAGTGACCAGTACAAACCAGTGAGGCCAAACTGGGGGGGTTCCCTGAACTCTTTACCTGTGAGACTTCACCTGTGCCCACCCGTGCCCACCTGTGCCCACCTGTGCCCAGGTGAGACGCGTCACATCCTGAGCGTGGGGCTGGGATGAACTGGGGACATTTAGTGACCAGTACAGACCAGTACAGACCAGTGAGGCCAAACTGGGGGGGTTCCTGTGAGTGCCCACCTGTGCCCACCTGTGCCCACCTGTGCCCACCTGTGCCCAGGTGAGACCCGACCCATCCTGAGCGTGGGGCTGGGATGAACTGGGGACATTTAGTGACCAGTATAAACCAGTGAGGCCAAACTGGGGGGGTTCCCTGACTCCCTTACCTGTCAGTGCCCACCTGTGCCCACCTGTGCCCACCTGTGCCCACCTGTGCCCAGGTGAGACCTGACCCATCCTGACCATGTGCCTGGGATGAATTAGGGACCAGTACAGACCAGTACAAACCAGTGAGGCCAAACTGGGGGGGTTCCCTGAACTCTTTACCTGTGAGACCTGACCTGTGCCCACCTGTGCCCACCTGTGCCCAGGTGAGACCCGGCACATCCTGAGTGTGGGGCTGGGATGAACTGGGGACATTTAGTGACCAGTAGGAACCAGTAAGAACCAGTGAGGTCAAACTGGGCGGGTTCCCTGAAGCTTTACCTGCCTGTGCCCACCTGTGCCCACCTGTGCCCAGGTGAGACCCGCCGCATCCTGAGCGTGGGGCTGGGATGAATTAGGGACCAGTACAGACCAGTAAGAACCACTGAAGTCAAACTGGGGGGGTTCCCTGACTCCCTTACCTGTGAATGCCAACCCGTGCCCAGGTGAGACCTCACCTGTGCCCACCTGTGCCCAGGTGAGACCCGACCCATCCTGACCATGTACCTGGGATGAATTAGGGACCAGTACAGACCAGTACAAACCAGTGAGGCCAAACTGGGAGGGCTCCCTGACTCCCTTACCTGTGAGTGCCCAGGTGAGACCTGACCTGTGCCCACCTGTGCCCACCTGTGCCCACCTGTGCCCAGGTGAGACCTGACCCATCCTGACCATGTACCTGGGATGAATTAGGGACATTTAGTGACCAGTAAGAACCAGTAACAACCACTGAAATCAAACTGGGGGGGTTCCCTGAACTCTTTACCTGTGAGTGCCCACCTGTGCCCAGATGAGACCTGACCTGTGCCCACCTGTGCCCACCTGTGCCCAGGTGAGACCCGCCCCATCCTGAGCGTGGGGCTGGGATGAATTAGGGACCAGTAAGAACCAGTAAGAACCACTGAAATCAAACTGGGAGGGTTCATTGAACCCTTTACCTGTGAGACCTCACCTGTGCCCACCCGTGCCCACCTGTGCCCAGGTGAGACCTGACCCATCCTGACCATGTACCTGGGATGAATTAGGGACCAGTACAGACCAGTACAGACCAGTGAGGCCAAACTGGGGCAGTTCCTTGAATCCTTTACCTGTGAGTGCCCAGGTGAGACCTGACCTGTGCCCACCTGTGCCCACCTGTGCCCAGGTGAGACCTGACCCATCCTGACCATGTACCTGGGATGAATTAGGGACCAGTACAAACCAGTACAGACCAGTGAGGCCAAACTGGGGGGGTTCCTGTGAGTGCCCAGGTGAGACCTGACCTGTGCCAACCTGTGCCCAGGTGAGACCTGAACCATCCTGACCATGTACGTGGGATGAATTAGGGACATTTAGTGACCAGTAAGAACCAGTAAGAACCAGTGAGGCCAAACTGGGGGGGTTCCTGTGAGTGCCCAGGTGAGACCTGACCCGTGCCCACCTGTGAGTGCCCACCTGTGCCCACCTGTGCCCACCTGTGCCCAGGTGAGACCCGCCGCATCCTGAGCGTGGGGCTGGGATGAATTAGGGACCAGTACAGACCAGTACAGACCAGTGAGGCCAAACTGGGGGGAGTTCCTTGAATCCTTTACCTGTGAGTGCCCAGGTGAGACCTGACCTGTGCCCACCTGTGAGTGCCCACCTGTGCCCAGCTGTGCCCAGGTGAGACGCGCCACATCCTGAGCGTGGGGCTGGGATGAATTAGGGACCAGTAAGAAGCACCAAAATTAAACTGGGGGGGTTCCCTGACTCCCTTACCTGTCAGTGCCCACCTGTGCCCACCTGTGCCCACCTGTGCCCACGTGTGCCCAGGTGAGACGCGGCGCATCCTGAGCGTGCAGCCGGCCTACGAGTGGACGTGCTTCAGCCACTCGCTGCTGAACGTGTCGCCGATGCCGGTGGAGTCGGCGCCGCCGCTGCCGTGCCCGCGGCCGTGCCACCTGCAGCGCACCTGCGCCGCGTGCCTGGCATCGGCGGGCGCCGACGGCGGCTGGCAGCACTGCCTCTGGAGCCTGGCGCTCAGACAGGTGAGTGCACCTGATCCTCTTATACCTTTTTAGTTTAATTTTTCCCCAGTTTTTCCCTTTTTTCCCTATTTTTTCCCATTTTTTCCCCCCATTTTCCCCCATTTTTTTCCCATTTTTTTCCCATTTTTTCCCCATTTTTCCCCATTTTTTCCCATTTTTTTCCCATTTTTTTACAATTTTTTCCCATTTTTCCCCCATTTTTCCCATTTTTTCCCCATTTTACCCCATTTTTTCCCATTTTTTCCCCATTTTTTCCATATTTTTTCCCATTTTTTCCCCATTTTTTTTTTATTTTTTCCCCATTTATTTCCCATTTTCTTCCCATTTTTGCCCCATTTTTTCCCTTATTTTTCCCAATTTCTTTTACAATTTCTTCCCCATTTTTGCCCAATTTTTCCCATTTTTCCCCATTTTTCCCCCATTTTTTTCCCCATTTTTTTTTATTTTTCCCATTTTTTTACCCATTTTTGCCCCATTTTTTCTCATTTTCCCCAATTTTTCCCAAATTTTTCCCCGTTTTCCCCCCATTTTTTCCCATGTTATTTAAAATTTTTCCCCCATTTTTCCCCTTTTTTTCCCATTTTTTTAGATTTTTTCCCCCATTTCCCCCCCATTTTTCCCATTTTTTCCCTTTTTTCCCCATTTTTTTCCCTTTTTTTTTCCCAATTTTTTCCCCATTTTCCCCCCATTTTTTCCCAATTTTTTCCCCATTTTCCCCATTTTTTCCCTTTTTTTCTTTTTTTTTTATTTTTCCCCATTTCCCCCCCTTTTTTCACTCATTTTCCCCATTTTTTCCCCATTTTACCCTATTTTCCCCCCATTTTTTCCCCATTTTCCCCCATTTTTTCCCCATTTTTTCCCATTTTTTCCCATTTTTCCCCCCATTTTTTCCCCATTTTTTCCCATTTTTCCCCCCATTTTCCCCCCCCATTTTTTCCCCATTTTTCCCCATTTTTTACAGTTTTTCCCCATTTTTTTTAGATTTTTTCCCCCATTTTCCCCCCTTTTTTTCCCCATTTTTCCCTTTTTTTCCCTATTTTTCCCATTTTTTCCCATTTTTCCCCCATTTTCCCCCATTTTTCCCCATTTTCCCCCCAGTTTATTGATCCGGGACTTTCTGGGTGGATTTTGGGGCAATTTTGGGTTATTTCTAACCCTGTTTAACCCTTTCCTCCCCAGTGCCTGAGCCCCAAATCAGCCCCCCTGCGCTGCCGGGCCGGGGGCGCTTTGGGGATTTTTGGGGATTTTTGGGGATTTTTGGGGATTCTTTTGGGGGGTTTTTTTTGGGAATTCTTTTGGGGGATTCTTCCGGGGATTTTTGGGAATTCTTTTGGGAGTTCTTTTGGGAATTTTTGGGGTTTTTTTGGGAATTTTTTTGGGGGATTCTTTTCGGGATTCTTTTGGGGCATTTGGGGATTTTTGGGAATTCTCTTGGGGATTTTTGGGGGTGTTTTTTGGGGGTTTTTGGGGGCTCTTTTGGGGGTTTTTGGGGGGTTCTTTTGGGAATTCTTTTGGGGGGGTTCTAAGGGGATTTTTGGGGTTTTTTGGGGGGTATTTTTGGGGCTCTTTTGGGGATTTTTGGGAATTCTTTTGGGGGGTTCTTTTTGGAATTTTGGGGGTTTTTTGGGGGGTTTTTTTTGGGTTCTTTGGCGCTTTTCTGGGGTTCTTTGTGGTTTTTTGGGGGGTTTTAATTCTGGGATTTTCCGGGTGGGATTTTGGGGCAATTTCGGGTAAATTTTGAACCATTTTGGATCTATTTAACCCCATTTAACCCTTTCCTCCCCAGTGCCTGAGCCCCAGCTTCACCCCCCTGCGCTGCCGGGCCGGGGCCGCTTTGGGGATTTTTGGGGCTTTTTTGGGAATTCTTTTGGGGATTTTTAGGGGATTCTTTTGGGGGTTTTTTTGGGGATTTTTTGGGAATTCTTTTGGGGCTTTTGGGGGGGTTCTTTTGGGGTTTTTTGGGGGGATTTTTTGGGAATTCTTTTGGGGATTTTTGGGGATTCTTTTGGGGATGTTTAGGGATTCTTTTAGGGGGTTCTTTCGGGGATTTTTGGGATTTTTCGGGGTGTTTTTTGGGGGTTTTTTTGGGCTCTTTGGGGGTTTTTTGGGGTTTTTTTTGGGCTCTTTGGGAGTTTTTTGGGGTTTTTTTGGGGAATTCTTTTGGGAATTCTTTTGGGGGGTTCTTTGAGGATTTTTGGGGGATTCTTTTGGGGATTTTTGGGGGGCTCTTTTGAGGGTGTTTTTTGGGGGTTTTTGGGTCTCTTTAGAGGTTTTTTTGGGGGTTTTGCTGGGGATGTTTTTGGGTTTTTTGGGGTTTTTTTGGGCTGTTTGGGGACTTGCATTTCCGGGATTTCGGGGCTATTTGGGGGTGGGATTTTGGGGCAATTTTGGGTGGATTTGGGAGCATTTCTAACCCCATTTAACCCTTTCCTCCCCAGTGCCTGAGCCCCAGCTTCGCCCCCCTGCTCTGCCTGGCCGGGGGCTGCGGCCGCCTCCTGCGGGGGGGGGGTGGGGGAGGGGGTCTCCCCTCCCCCCCGGGGGGTCTCCCCTCCCCCCCCGAGCGCTGCCCCTCCCCCCCCGAGTGCGGGGGGGCGTCCCAGTGCTCCCAGTGCCTGCGGCGGCCGCGCTGCGGGTGGTGCGCCCGGGGGGGGCACAGCGGGGCCGGGCGCTGCATCCAGGGCGGCATCAGCGGGCCCCTGAAAGGTGAGGATTTGGGGGAAAAAATGGGATTTTTGGGGTTTTTGGGAAAAATTTCAGGAGTTTCGGGAAAAATTTGGGGGGGTTTGGGGCATTTAAAGGGGGTTTTGAGGCATTTAAAGGGGGTTTTGGGAGGTGTTTTATGGGCATTGGGGGGGTTTAGGGGGGGGTTTAGGGAGAATTTGGGTGGATTTTGGGGGATTTTTGGGGAAAGTTTGGGAATTTTTGGGACAAAAAGTGTATTTTGGGGAATTTTAGGGAGTTTTGGGGAGGTTTGGAGGGGCTTTGGGGCAATTCAAGGGGATTTCGGGCAGGTCCTGGGTGGTCTTGGGGTGTTATATGGGCACTGGGAGAAGGTTTGGGGGTGTTTAGGGGGAATTTGGGTGGATTTTGGGGGATTTTTGGGGAAAATTTGGGAATTTTTGGGAAAAAAAGTGAATTTTAGGGAGTTTTGGGGGTTTTGGGGGGGTTTTGGGGCATTTAAAGGGGGTTTGGGGGTCTCAGGTGCGCCCGGGGGGGGCACAGCGGGGCCGGGCGCTGCATCCAGGGGGGCATCAGCGGGGCCCTGAAAGGTGAGCAACGGGAAATTCGGGAAAATTTGGGAATTTTTGGGAAAAAATGTGAATTTCGGGGAAAATTTGGGAATTTCAGGGGTTTTTTGTAGGTATTTTGGGGCAGTTTTGGGGTTTTTTGGGGCAGTTTTTGCTGTTTTTTGTAGAAATTTTGGGGAATTTTGGGTTTTTTGGGAATTTTGGGATAATTCCACTCTCACTTCCGGGTTACCTGCGCCAGGTGCGTCCGAGACCTGCGGGCCGGGGGAGGTTTGGGCCTTCCTGAGCTGCCCCCCCGAGGACGAGTGCGAGAACGGGCACCACACCTGCGGGCCCAGCCAGGTGTGCCGCGACCTGCCCGACGGCTTCACCTGCGCCTGCCGGGACGGCTACAGCCCCGACAGGTGAGTGACACACCTGGGTGGGACAGGGACACACCTGGGTGGGACAGGGACACACCTGGGTGGGACAGGGACACACCTGGGTGGGACAGGGACACACCTGGGCGGGGCAGGGACACACCTGCGGGCCCAGCCAGGTGTGCCGCGACCTCCCCGACGGCTTCACCTGCGCCTGCCGGGAGGGGTTCAGCCCCGACAGGTGAGTGACACACCTGGGCAGGTGAGGGTGGGGCAGGGACACACCTGGGCAGGTGAGGGTGGGGCGGGGACACACCTGGGCAGGTGAGGGTGGGGCGGGGACACACCTGGGCAGGTGAGAAATGGGACAGGGACACACCTGGGCAGGTGAGGGACACACCTGGGCAGGTGAGGGATGGGGCGGGGACACACCTGGGCAGGTGAGGGACACACCTGGGCAGGTGAGGGACACACCCCGACGGCTTCACCTGCGCCTGCCGGGAGGGGTACAGCCCTGACAGGTGAGCCACACACCTGGGCAGGTGAGGGACACACCTGGGTGGGTGACAAATGGGACAGGGACACACCTGGGCAGGTGAGGGATGGGTTGGGGTATCTCAGGTGTGCCCCAGGTGTATCTCAGGTAACTGAGGTGTGCCCCAGGTGTGCCCCAGGTGTGCCCCAGTCCCTCCCCTGACCAGGTGTGCCCCAGGTGTGCCCCAGGTTTATCTCAGGTGTACCCCCAGTCCCCCTCCCCTGCCCAGGTGTGCCCCAGGTGTATCTCAGGTATCCCAGATGTGCCCCAGGTGTGCCCAGGTGTATCTCAGGTGTGCCCCCAGCCCCTCCCCTGCCCAGGTGTACCCCCAGGTGTGCCCAGGTACCCCCAGCCCCTCCCCCTGCCCAGGTGTGCCCCAGGTGCCGCCAGCGCCCCTCCCTGACCAGGTGTGCCCCAGATGCCCCTGCCCTGCCCAGGTGTGCCCCAGGTGTGCCCTGGCATGCCCCAGGTGTGCCTGGGCGCCCCTCCCCCTGCCCAGGTGTATCTCAGGTGTGCCCCCAGCCCCTCCCCCTGCCCAGGTGTGCCCAGGTGTGCCCCCAGCCCCTCCCCTGCCCAGGTGTGCCCCAGGTGTGCCCCAGGTGTGCCCGGGCGCCCCTCCCCTGCCCAGGTGTGCCCCAGGTGTCCCCAGGTGTGCCCAGGTGTGCCCAGGTGTGCCCCCAGCCCCTCCCCTGCCCAGGTGTGCCCCAGGTGTATCCCAGGTGCCCCCAGGTGTGCCCCAGGTGTGCCCGGGTGCCTCTCCCTGACCAGGTGTGCCCCAGGTGTGCCCCAGGTGTGCCCCAGGTGTATCTCAGGTATCCCAGATGTGCCCCAGGTGTATCTCAGGTATCTCAGGTGTGCCCAGGTGTATCTCAGGTGTGCCCCCAGCCCCTCCCCCTGCCCAGGTGTGCCCCAGGTGTGCCCCAGGTGTGCCCGGGCGCCCCTCCCCTGCCCAGGTGTGCCCCAGGTGTGCCCCAGGTGTGCCCCAGGTGCCCCCAGCCCCTCCCCCTGCCCAGGTGTGCCCCAGGTGTGCCCTGGCATGCCCCAGGTGTGCCCCAGGTGTATCCCAGGTGTGCCCCAGGTGTGCCCCACCCTGACCAGGTGTGCCCAGGTGTGCCCTGGCATGCCCCAGGTGTGCCCGGGCGCCCCTCCCCCTGCCCAGGTGTGTCCCAGGTGTGCCCCAGGTGTATCTCAGGTATCTCAGGTGTGCCCCAGGTTCCCGTGCCCTGCCCAGGTGTGCCCAGGTGTGCCCCCAGCCCCTCCCCCTGCCCAGGTGTGCCCAGGACCCCCTCCCTGACCAGGTGTGCCCAGGTGTCCCCAGCCCCTCCCCCTGCCCAGGTGTGCCCCCAGCCCCTCCCCCTGACCAGCTGTGCCCCAGGAGTATCTCAGGTGTGCCCCAGATGTGCCCCAGGTGCCCCCAGCCCCCCTCCCTGACCAGGTGTGCCCCAGGTGTGCCCCAGGTGTGCCCCAGATGCCCCCGGCCCCTCCCTGCCCAGGTGTGCCCCAGGTGTAGCTCAGGTGTGCCCCAGCCCCTCCCTGCCCAGGTGTGCCCCAGGTGTGCCCCGGGTATATTTCAGGTATCTCAGGTGCCCCCAGCCCCCACCTGACCAGGTGTTCCCCGCCCAGCCGCACAGGTGAGTGCCGCCCCGTGTGCCGCCAGGGCTGCGCCAACGGCACCTGCGTGGAGCCCGACAGGTGCCGCTGCCACTTCGGCTTCGTGGGCAGCGACTGCGGCGTCACCTGCGCCTGCAACGGGCACAGCGACTGCGCCGGGCCGCATGCAACGGACACCTGTCTGCAGTGCCACAACAACACCCAGGTGAGTGTTACCTGGGCACAGGTGTGTTACCTGGTGTGTTACCTGGGTGGGCACAGCGACTGCGCCGGGCCGCATGCAACCGACACCTGTCTGCAGTGCCACAACAACACCCAGGTGAGTGCCAGGTGTGCCCAGGTGAGTGCCAGGTGTGTTACCTGGTGTGTTACCTGGGTGCCAGGTGTGTTACCTGGGTGGGTGCCCGACTGCGGCGTCACCTGCGCCTGCAACGGGCACAGCGACTGCGCCGGGCCCCGTGCCACCGACACCTGTCTGCAGTGCCACAACAACACCCAGGTGAGTGTTACCTGGGCACAGGTGTGTTACCTGGGTGCCAGGTGAGTTACCTGCGCCTGCAACGGGCACAGCGACTGCGCCGGGCCGCATGCAACGGACACCTGTCTGCAGTGCCACAACAACACCCAGGTGAGTGCCAGGTGTGCCCAGGTGAGTGCCAGGTGTGCCCAGGTGAGTGTTACCTGGGTGCCAGGTGTGCCCAGGTGTGTTACCTGGGTGGGCACAGCGACTGCGCCGGGCCGCATGCAACCGACACCTGTCTGCAGTGCCACAACAACACCCAGGTGAGTGTTACCTGGGCACAGGTGAGTGCCAGGTGTGTTACCTGGGTGCCAGGTGTGTTACCTGGGCGGGCACAGCGACTGCGCCGGGCCGCATGCAACGGACACCTGTCTGCAGTGCCACAACAACACCCAGGTGAGTGGTACCTGGGCACAGGTGTGTTACCTGGGTGGGTGCCCGACTGCGGCGTTACCTGCGCCTGCAACGGGCACAGCGACTGCGCCGGGCCCCGCGCCACCGACACCTGTCTGCAGTGCCACAACAACACCCAGGTGAGTGCCAGGTGTGCCCAGGTGTGTTACCTGGGTGGGTACCCGACTGCGGCGTTACCTGCGCCTGCAACGGGCACAGCGACTGCGCCAGGCCGCGTGCAACAGACACCTGTCTGCAGTGCCACAACAACACCCAGGTGAGTGTTACCTGGGCACAGGTGTGTTACCTGGTGTGTTACCTGGGTGCCAGGTGTGTTACCTGGGCACAGGTGTGTTACCTGGGTGGGTGCCCGACTGCGGCGTCACCTGCGCCTGCAACGGGCACAGCGACTGCGCCAGGCCGCATGCAACAGACACCTGTCTGCAGTGCCACAACAACACCCAGGTGAGTGCCAGGTGTGCCAGGTGTGTTACCTGGGTGCCAGGTGTGTTACCTGGGTGCCAGGTGAGGTTACCTGGGTGCCAGGTGTGTTACCTGGGTGCCAGGTGAGTTACCTGGGTGCCAGGTGTGTTACCTGGGTGCCAGGTGGGGTTACCTGGGTGCCAGGTGTGTTACCTGGGTGCCAGGTGAGTTACCTGGGTGGGGTTACCTGGGTGCCAGGTGTGTTACCTGCGTGCCAGGAGGGTTACCTGGGTGCCAGGTGGGGTTACCTGGGTGCCAGGTGTGTTACCTGGGTGCCAGGTGAGTGCCAGGTGGGGTTACCTGGGTGCCAGGTGAGGTTACCTGGGTGTTAGGTGTGTTACCTGGGTGCCAGGTGTGCCCAGGTGGGGTTACCTGGGTGCCAGGTGTGCCTAGCTGGGGTTACCTGGGTGCCAGGTGTGCCCAGGTGGGGTTACCGGGGTGCCAGGTGAGTGCCAGGTGTGTTACCTGGGTGCCAGGTGTGTTACCTGGGTGCCAGGTGAGTTACCTGGGTGCCAGGTGGGGTTACCTGGGTGCCAGGTGGGGTTACCTGGGTGCCAGGTGTGTTACCTGGGTGCCAGGTGGGGTTACCTGGGTGCCAGGTGTGCCAGGTGTGTTACCTGGGTGCCAGGTGAGTGCCAGGTGGATTACCTGGGTGCCAGGTGTGCCAGGTGGGGTTACCTGGGTGCCAGGTGTGTTACCTGGGTGCCAGGTGTGTTACCCGGGTGCCAGGTGGGGTTACCTGGGTGCCAGGTGTGCCAGGTGTGTTACCTGGGTGCCAGGTGAGTGCCAGGTGGATTACCTGGGTGCCAGGTGTGCCAGGTGGGGTTAGCTGGGTGCCAGGTGTGTTACCTGGGTGCCAGGTGTGCCCAGGTGGGGTTACCTGGGTGCCAGGTGTGTTACCCGGGTGCCAGGTGTGTTACCTGGGTGCCAGGTGGGTGCCAGGTGGGGTTACCTGGGTGCCAGGTGGGGTTACCTGTACCACACCTGTGCACACCTGCAGGGCCCGCAGTGCCAGCGCTGCCGCCCGCTGTTCGTGGGCACCGCCCTCGGGGGGGGCACCTGCCTCACCTGTAACACACCTGTGACACACCTGTAACACACCTGTGCACACCTGTAACACACCTGTGCACACCTGTACCACACCTGTGCACACCTGTAACACACCTGTGCACACCTGTAACACACCTGTAACACACCTGTACCACACCTGTGCACACCTGCAGGGCCCGCAGTGCCAGCGCTGCCGCCCGCTGTTCGTGGGCACCGCCCTCGGGGGGGGCACCTGCCTCACCTGTAACACACCTGTGACACACCTGTAACACACCTGTGCACACCTGTAACACACCTGTAACACACCTGTACCACACCTGTAACACACCTGTGCACACCTGTACCACACCTGTGCACACCTGCAGGGCCCGCAGTGCCAGCGCTGCCGCCCGCTGTTCGTGGGCACCGCCCTCGGGGGGGGCACCTGCCTCACCTGTAACACACCTGTGACACACCTGTAACACACCTGTACCACACCTGTAACACACCTGTAACACACCTGTGACACACCTGTGCACACCTGTAACACACCTGTAACACACCTGTGACACACCTGTAACACACCTGTGCACACCTGTAACACACCTGTACCACACCTGTGCACACCTGTAACACACCTGCAGGGCCCGCAGTGCCAGCGCTGCCGCCCGCTGTTCGTGGGCACCGCCCTCGGGGGGGGCACCTGCCTCACCTGTAACACACCTGTAACACACCTGTAACACACCTGTGCACACCTGTAACACACCTGTAACACACCTGTAACACACCTGTAACACACCTGTGCACACCTGTACACACCTGTAACACACCTGTAACACACCTGTGCACACCTGTACCACACCTGTGCACACCTGTAACACACCTGTAACACACCTGTGCACACTTGTAACACACCTGTAACACACCTGTGCACACCTGTAACACCTGTAACACACCTGTGCACACCTGTGCACACCTGTAACACACCTGTAACACACCTGTGCACACCTGCAGGGCCCGCAGTGCCAGCGCTGCCGCCCGCTGTTCGTGGGCACCGCCCTCGGGGGGGGCACCTGCCTCACCTGTAACACACCTGTAACACACCTGTAACACACCTGTGCACACCTGTAACACACTGTAACACACCTGTACCACACCTGTGCACACCTGCAGGGCCCGCAGTGCCAGCGCTGCCGCCCGCTGTTCGTGGGCACCGCCCTCGGGGGGGGCACCTGCCTCACCTGTAACACACCTGTGCACACCTGTAACACACCTGTGCACACCTGTAACACACCTGTAACACACCTGTAACACACCTGTAACACACCTGTGCACACCTGTAACACACCTGTGCACACCTGTACCACACCTGTGCACACCTGCAGGGCCCGCAGTGCCAGCGCTGCCGCCCGCTGTTCGTGGGCACCGCCCTCGGGGGGGGCACCTGCCTCACCTGTAACACACCTGTAACACACCTGTAACACACCTGTGCACACCTGTAACACACTGTAACACACCTGTAACACACCTGTAACACACCTGTGCACACCTGTAACACACCTGTAACACACCTGTAACACACCTGTAACACACCTGTGCACACCTGTAACACACCTGTACCACACCTGTGCACACCTGTAACACACCTGTGCACACCTGTAACACACCTGTAACACACCTGTAACACACCTGTAACACACCTGTGCACACCTGTAACACACCTGTACCACACCTGTGCACACCTGTAACACACCTGCAGGGCCCGCAGTGCCAGCGCTGCCGCCCGCTGTTCGTGGGCACCGCCCTCGGGGGGGGCACCTGCCTCACCTGTAACACACCTGTACCACACCTGTAACACACCTGTACCACACCTGTGCACACCTGTAACACACCTGTGACACACCTGTAACACACCTGTGCACACCTGTAACACACCTGTAACACACCTGTACCACACCTGTAACACACCTGTGCACACCTGTACCACACCTGTGCACACCTGCAGGGCCCGCAGTGCCAGCGCTGCCGCCCGCTGTTCGTGGGCACCGCCCTCGGGGGGGCACCTGCCTCACCTGTAACACACCTGTGACACACCTGTAACACACCTGTACCACACCTGTAACACACCTGTAACACACCTGTGACACACCTGTGCACACCTGTAACACACCTGTAACACACCTGTGACACACCTGTAACACACCTGTGCACACCTGTAACACACCTGTACCACACCTGTGCACACCTGTAACACACCTGCAGGGCCCGCAGTGCCAGCGCTGCCGCCCGCTGTTCGTGGGCACCGCCCTCGGGGGGGGCACCTGCCTCACCTGTAACACACCTGTGCACACCTGTAACACACCTGTGCACACCTGTAACACACCTGTAACACACCTGTAACACACCTGTAACACACCTGTGCACACCTGTAACACACCTGTGCACACCTGTACCACACCTGTGCACACCTGCAGGGCCCGCAGTGCCAGCGCTGCCGCCCGCTGTTCGTGGGCACCGCCCTCGGGGGGGGCACCTGCCTCACCTGTAACACACCTGTAACACACCTGTAACACACCTGTGCACACCTGTAACACACTGTAACACACCTGTAACACACCTGTAACACACCTGTGCACACCTGTAACACACCTGTAACACACCTGTAACACACCTGTAACACACCTGTGCACACCTGTAACACACCTGTACCACACCTGTGCACACCTGTAACACACCTGCAGGGCCCGCAGTGCCAGCGCTGCCGCCCGCTGTTCGTGGGCACCGCCCTCGGGGGGGGCACCTGCCTCACCTGTAACACACCTGTACCACACCTGTAACACACCTGTACCACACCTGTGCACACCTGTAACACACCTGTAACACACCTGTAACACACCTGTGCACACCTGTAACACACCTGTAACACACCTGTACCACACCTGTGCACACCTGCAGGGCCCGCAGTGCCAGCGCTGCCGCCCGCTGTTCGTGGGCACCGCCCTCGGGGGGGGCACCTGCCTCACCTGTAACACACCTGTACCACACCTGTAACACACCTGTACCACACCTGTGCACACCTGTAACACACCTGTAACACACCTGTGCACACCTGTACCACACCTGTGCACACCTGTAACACACCTGTAACACACCTGTGCACACCTGTACACACCTGTAACACACCTGTAACACACCTGTGCACACCTGTACCACACCTGTAACACACCTGTAACACACCTGTAACACACCTGTGCACACCTGTAACACACCTGTAACACACCTGTGCACACCTGTAACACACCTGTGCACACCTGTAACACACCTGTAACACACCTGTAACACACCTGTGCACACCTGTAACACACCTGTAACACACCTGTAACACACCTGTGCACACCTGTAACACACCTGTAACACACCTGTGCACACCTGTAACACACCTGTGCACACCTGTAACACACCTGTAACACACCTGTAACACACCTGTGCACACCTGTGCACACCTGTAACACACCTGTAACACACCTGTAACACACCTGTAACACACCTGTGCACACCTGTACACACCTGTAACACACCTGTAACACACCTGTGCACACCTGTGCACACCTGTGCACACCTGTAACACACCTGTGCACACCTGTACCACACCTGTGCACACCTGTAACACACCTGTAACACACCTGTGCACACCTGTAACACACCTGTAACACACCTGTAACACACCTGTAACACACCTGTGCACACCTGTACACACCTGTAACACACCTGTAACACACCTGTGCACACCTGTACCACACCTGTGCACACCTGTAACACACCTGTAACACACCTGTGCACACTTGTAACACACCTGTAACACACCTGTGCACACCTGTAACACCTGTAACACACCTGTGCACACCTGTGCACACCTGTAACACACCTGTAACACACCTGTGCACACCTGCAGGGCCCGCAGTGCCAGCGCTGCCGCCCGCTGTTCGTGGGCACCGCCCTCGGGGGGGGCACCTGCCTCACCTGCCGCTCCTTCTGCCGCCACCGCGCCGACGTCTGCCTGAGCCGCGCCGACCTGGAGCGGCACCGGCGCCAGCCCGACAGGTACCCCCTGGAGCCACACCTGGTGAGCACCTGCGGGAAACTGGGGGGGGGACAGCTGGGGGCACACCTGGGCACACCTGGGGGTAGTGGCACACCTGGGTGTACACCTGGGCACACCTGGGGAAACACCTGGGGAAACACCTGGGGATTCATCTGGGCACACCTGGGGGTGGGGACACACCTGGGGGTACACGTGGGCACACCTGGGGACTGACCTGGGCACACCTTGGGGGTGGAAACACACCTGGGCACACCTGGGGATTCATCTGGGCACATCTGGGGGGTGGGGACACACCTGGGCACACCTGGGCACACCTGGGGCCACCTGGGAACTCACGTGGGGGGTAGGGACACACCTGGGGACACTTGTGGATTCCCCTGGGCACACGTGGCGGGTGGGGCACACCTGGGCACACCTGGGGGAACACCTGCAGGCACACCTGGGGGGTGGAGACACACCTGCGCACACCTGGGGGTCGGAAGCATACCTGGGCACACCTGGGAACACATCTGGGCACACCTGGGGGCTCAGGACACACCTGGGCACACCTTGAGGGTGGGGGCACACCTGGGCACACCTGGGGATTCACCTGGGAACTCACCTGGGGGCTGGGGACACACCTGGGGGTGGGGGCACACCTGGGCACACACCTGGGGATTCATCTGGGCACACCTGGGGGGTGGGGACACACCTGGGCACACCTGGGACACACCTGGGGAGGGAAAGGCTCACCTGGGCTCACCTGGGCACTCACCTGGGCACACCTGGGGGATGGGGACACACCTGGGGACACACCTGGGGGGGTGGGGACACACCTGGGCGCACCTGGGGAGTGGGGACACACCTGGGCACACCTGGGGACACTTGGGGAGTGGGGACACACCTGGGCACTCACCTGGGCACACCTGGGACACACCTGGGGAGGGACAGACTCACCTGGGCACTCACCTGTTCTCACCTGGCAGATCCACACGTGGGTGCAGGAGGGCCCCAGCGAGGCGCAGGCCGTGTGTGTGAACTGCCAGAACAACAGCGTGGGGGACAGGTGTGACACCTGCCGGGCGGGGTTCTTCCTGCTGGACGGCACCTGCACCAGGTGAGACACACACCTGGGACAGGTGTGACACCTGCCGGGCGGGGTTCTTCCTGCTGGACGGCACCTGCACCAGGTGAGACACCTGAGACAGGTGTGACACCTGCCGGGCGGGGTTCTTCCTGCTGGACGGCACCTGCACCAGGTGAGACACACACACACACCTGGGACAGGTGTGACACACACACACACCTGGGACAGGTGTGACACACACACACACCTGGGACACACACACACACACCTGGGACAGGTGTGACACACACACACACCTGGGACACACACACACACACACACACACACCTGGGACAGGTGTGACACCTGCCGGGCGGGGTTCTTCCTGCTGGACGGCACCTGCACCAGGTGAGACACCTGAGACACACCTGGGACACACACACACCTGGGACAGGTGTGACACACACACACACACCTGGGACAGGTGAGACACACACACACACCTGGGACAGGTGTGACACCTGCCGGGCGGGGTTCTTCCTGCTGGACGGCACCTGCACCAGGTGAGACACCTGAGACACCTGGGACAGGTGTGACACACACCTGGGACACACCTGGGACACACACACACACCTGGGACAGGTGAGACACACGCCTGAGACACACACACACACCTGGGACAGGTGAGACACACACCTGGGACACAGACACACACACCTGGGACAGGTGAGACACCTGCCGGGCGGGGTTCTTCCTGCTGGACAGCACCTGCACCAGGTGAGACACCTGGGACACACACCTGGGACACACCTGGGACACACACCTGGGACAGGTGTGACACACACACACACACCTGGGACAGGTGTGACACACACACACACCTGGGACACACCTGGGACACACACACACACCTGGGACAGGTGTGACACCTGCCGGGCGGGGTTCTTCCTGCTGGACGGCACCTGGGACAGGTGAGACACCTGAGACACACACCTGGGACAGGTGTGACACCTGCCGGGCGGGGTTCTTCCTGCTGGACGGCACCTGGGACAGGTGAGACACCTGAGACACACACCTGGGACAGGTGAGACACACACACACACACACCTGGGACAGGTGTGACACCTGCCGGGCGGGGTTCTTCCTGCTGGACGGCACCTGCACCAGGTGAGACACACACCTGGGACACACCTGGGACAGGTGAGACACACACCTGGGACAGGTGAGACACCTGTGACATGTGAGTTACCTGTGTCACCTGTGCCAGGTGAGTCGGGCACACCTGGGGATGAGAAAAAGGGAGAAAAATGTGAGAAAAATGAGGGGAAAAAGGAAAAACTGGGGGAAAAAATGGGAAAAATTTGGGAAATTGTGAAAAAATGGAGGAAATCTGGGGAAATTGGGGAAATTTTGGAAAATTTGGGAAAAATCAGGAAAATGGGGAGTTGCCTGTCTCAGGTGAGTCGGGCACACCTGGGGGTGAGAAAAACGGAGAAAAAATTAGAAAAATGAGGGGGAAAAGGGAAAATTGGGGGGAAAATGGGAAAAAAAAGTGAAAAAAATGGGAAAAATTTTGGGAAATTTGGGAAAAATGGGGGAAATTCGGGAAAAATCAGGAAAAGAGGGAGTTGCCTTTCTCAGGTGAGTTGGGCACACCTGGGCACACCTGGGGATGAGAAAAAAGAGAAAAAACGAGAAAAATGAGGGAAAAAAAGGGAAATTTGGGGGGAAAATTGTGGAAAAAAATGGGAAAAGCTTTGGGAAATTTGGGAAAATTTGGGAAAATTTGGGAAAATTTGGGAAAAATGGAAAAAAAAGGGGAATTACCTGTGCCAGGTGAGTCGGGCACACCTGGGGGTGAGAAAAGGGAGAAAAAAATGAAGGAAAAAAGTGAAAAATGGGGGGAAAAATGGGAAAAATTTGTAAAAAAAATGGGGAAAAATTTGGGAAAATTGGGAAAATTTTGGGAAAATTTGGGAAAATTTGGGAAAAAGGGAATGACCTGTCTGAGGGGGGTCACCTGCCCGCAGGTGCCAGTGCAACGGGCACGCCGACACCTGCAACGAGCTGGACGGCACCGGCTGCCCCTGCCAGAACAACACCGAGAGCGGCGCCTGCCCCGAGCGGCGCGACTGCCACCGCCACCAGGTGGGCACACCTGGGCACTCACCTGGGCGCACCTGGAGGCACCTGGGCACTGCCAAACACACACCTGGGCACACACCTGGGGGCACCTGGGTGCACCTGGGCACACACCTGGGGCACCTGGGGGCACCTGGGCACACCTGGGCAGACCTGGGGGCACCTGGGCACATACCTAGGGGCAGCTGGGGGCACCTGGGGGCAGCTGGGCACAGCTGGGCATGGCTGGGCACACACCTGGGGGCACCTGGGGGCACCTGAGGATACCTGGGCACAGCTATAGCACACCTGGGCACTCACCTGGGCACGGCTGGGGGCACCTGGGCACACCTGAGATACACCTGGGCACAGCTGGGGGCACCTGGGGCACACCTGGGCACACCTGGGCACTCACCTGGGCACACCTGGGGGCACCTGGGGGCACCTGGGGACACCTGAGATACACCTGGGGGCACCTGGGCACAGTTATAGCACACCTGGGATACACCTGGGGGCAGCTGGGCACACCTGGGGGCACACCTGGGCACAGCTGGGGGCACCTGGGCACACACCTGGGCACTGCCAAACACACACCTGGGCACACCTGGGGGCAGCTGGGCACAGCTGGCACTCACCTGGGCACACCTGGGCACACCTGGGGGCACCTGGGCACACCTGGGGGCACCTGGGGGCACACCTGGGACACACCTGGGCACAGCTGGGGGTACCTGGGGGTACCTGGGCACAGCCAAACACACACCTGGGCACAGCTGGGCACACCTGGGGGCACAGCTGGGGCACCTGGGCACAGCTGGGGCACCTGGGCACTCACCTGGGGGCACCTGGGGGCACCTGGGCACACACCTGGGCACACCTGAGATACCCCTGGGCACAGTTATAGCACACCTGGGCACACCTGGGGGCACCTGGGCACAGCTGGGGGCACACCTGGGCACAGCTGGCACACACCTGGGGGCGCCTGGGCACACCTGGGCACAGCTGGGGCACCTGGGGGCACCTGCGCACACACCTGGGGGCACCTGGGCACACACCTGGGCACACCTGGGGGAGGGAAAATGGGGGAAAATGCAAAAATTGGGGGGAAATTGAGAAAATTTGGGGGAAATTGGGATTTTGGGCACACCTGGGAACACCTGGGCACACCTGGGCACACCTGAGAAGGAAGAAACGGGTGAGAAATGGAGACAATTTGGGAAAAATTTGGAGGAAATTTGGATAAAATGGGAAAAAAATGGGGAAAAAACGCCCCCACGTCCAGGGGAGGTTCCAGAACCTTCTCCAGGGGGTTCTGGTGGGGACGTGGGGATGGAACCCACCACGTTCCTCGAGGTTCTGGTGCCACCAGCGTGGCTTGACCTCCCCACCAATGACCTCAGTGACCTCCACGAGTGTGACCACGACACTTTGGGTGTCCCCAGACCCAAAATCCATTCTGGAACCTTCTCCAGGGGGTTCTGGTGGGGACGTGGGGATGGAACCCATCATGTTCCTCGGGGTTCTGGTGCCACCAGGGTCCTCTGAGCTCCACACCAGCGACCTCAATGACCTCCATGAGTGTGACCACACCACTTTTGGTGTCCCCACAGTGCTCCAAGTGCCAGAACCTTCTCCGGGGGGTTCTGGTGGGGACGTGGGGATGGAACCCACCACGTTCCTCAAGGTTCTGGTGCCACCAGGATGCTCTGAGCTCCACCCCAATGACCTTGGTGACCTCGATGACCCTGACAGTGACATTGTTGGTGTCCCCAAGCCCTGAATCCATTCTAGAACCTTCTCCAGGGCTATGTGGTGGGGACGTGGGGGTGGAACCCACCACGTTCCTCGAGGTTCTGGTGCTTCCAGGGTGGCTTGACCTCCCCACCAATGACCTCAGTGACCTCCGTGACCCTGACAGTGACATTGTTGGTGTCCCCACAGTGCTCCAAGTGCCAGAACCTTCTGCAGGGGGTTCTGGTGGGGACGTGGGGATGGAACCCATGATGTTCTTCAGGGTTCTGGTGCTCTGAGCTCCACACCAATGACCCCCATGACCCTGACGGTGCCACTTTTGGTGTCCCCACAGTGCTCCAAGTGCCGTGACTCCTTCCAGGGCTTTGTGGTGGGGACGTGGGGATGGAACCCACCAGGTTCCTCGAGGTTCTGGTGCCACCAGGGTGCTCTGAGCTCCACAGCAATGATCTCCATGACCCTGACAGTGACATTTTTGGTGTCCCCAGACCCAAAATCCATTCTAGAACCTTCTCCAGGGCTTTGTGGTGGGGACGTGGGGATGGAACCCACCATGTTCCTCAGGGTTCTGGTGCTCTGAGCTCCACCCCAATGACCTCCATGACCCCCATGACCCTGACGATGCCACCTCTGGTGTCCCCACAGTGCTCCAAGTGCCGTGACTCCTTCCAGGGCCACCCGGTGGGGGGCCAGCAGTGCTACCGGCTGCTGGCGGTGGAGCAGGAGTACTGCCTGGACGCGGCGTCGCAGAGCCACTGCTTCCCCCCGCCGCAGCGCCGCCCGCTGCCGCCCGGCCGCTCCGTGCCCTTCGCCGTGCAGCCCAAGTTCACCAACGTGGACATCCGCCTGACGCTGGACGTCACCTTCGGCGTGGTGGACCTCTACGTGGCCACCTCCTACGACACCTTCGCCGTGGACGTGGAGCCGGACACCGGCTGGCACCGGGTCCGCGTGCAGGCGCCTGGTGGGGGTGGTGGGACCTTTGGGGGACAAGTGGGTGGTGGTGGCACCTTTGGGACCTTGGGGGGACAAGGGGGTGGTGGTGGCACCTTTGGGACCTTGGGGGGACAAGGGGGTGGTGGTGGCACCTTTGGGACCTTGGGGGGACAAGGGGGTGGTGGTGGCACCTTTGGGACCTTTGGGACCTCCGGGGGACAAGGAGGTGGTGGTGGTGGTGGTGGCACCTTTGGGACTTCCGGAACTGGTGGTGGCACCTTTGGGACCTTGGGGGGACAAGGGGGACAAGGGGGACAAGGGGGTGGTGGTGGCACCTTTGGGGGTGGTGGTGGCACCTTTGGGACTTCCGGAACTGGTGGTGGCACCTTTGGGACCTTGGGGGGACAAGGGGGACAAGGAGGTGGTGGTGGCACCTTTGGAGGTGGTGGTGGCACCTTCGGGACCTTGGGGGGACAAGGGGGTGGTGGTGGTGGTGGGGGTGGTGGTGGCACCTTCGGGGGCGGTGGTGGCACCTTTGGGACTTCCGGAACTGGTGGTGGCACCTTTGGGACCTTTGGTGGTCCTGGTGGGACTGGGACTAATGGTGGTGGCACCTTTGGGACTTCCGGAACTGGTGGTGGCACCTTTGGGACCTTCGGGGGACAAGGGGGTGGTGGTGGCACCTTTGGAGGTGGTGGTGGCACCTTTGGGACCTTCGGGGGACAAGGGGGACAAGGGGGTGGTGGTGGTGGCACCTTTGGGACTTCTGGAACTGGTGGTGGCACCTTTGGGACCTTCGGGGGACAAGGAGGTGGTGGTGGGGGTGGTGGTGGTGGCACCTTTGGGACTGGTGGTGGCACCTTTGGGACTTCCGGAACTGGAGGTGGCACCTTTGGGACCAGTGGTGGCACCTTGAGGAGCTTCGGGGCTGGGGCCGGGACCTTTGGGGCTGGTGGCACTGGAGGTGGCACCTTTGGGACTTCTGGAACTGGAGGTGGCACCTTTGGGACCTTTGGTGGTCCTGGTGGGACTGGGACTGCTGCTGGCGATGGTGGCACCTTTGGGACTGGTGGTGGCACCTTTGGGACTTCTGGAAATGGAGGTGGCACCTTTGGGACCTTTGGTGGTCCTGGTGGGACTGGGACTGCTGCTGGTGATGGTGGCACCTTCAGGACTTCTGGAACTGGAGGTGGCACCTTTGGGACCTTTGGTGGCCCTGGTGACACCTTTGGGACTTCTTGGACTGGTGATGGTGGTGGTGGTGGTGGCACCTTTGGGACCTTTGGTGGCCCTGGTGGTGACGCCTTTGGGACTTCTTGGACTGGTGGCACTGGTGGGACTGGTGGGACTGGTGATGGTGGTGGTGGCACCTTTGGGACCTTCGGTGGCACCTTTGGGACCTTTGGTGGCCCTGGTGGCCCTGCAGCCGGTGGGGCTGGTCCCACTGGTCCGACTGGTTTTACTGGTGACCCCCAAAGTTCTGGTGACCCCAGACCCCATTTTGGTGGCCCCCAACCCCATTTTGGTGGCCAAACTGGTTTTTATGGCCAATCCGATGACCCCAGACCCCATTTTGGTGGCCCCAGACCCAATTTTGGTGGCCCCCAACCCCATTTTGGTGGCCCCAGAGAAGAGTTTGGTGGCCAAACCAGTTTTAATGACCAATCTGATGACCCCAAACCCAATTTTGGTGGCCCCCAACCCCACTTTGATGACCCCCAACCCCATTTTGATGACCCCAAACCCCATTTTGGTGGCCCCCAACCCAATTTTGGTGGTCCTCAACCCCATTTTGGTGGCCCCAGACCCAATTTTGGTGGTCCCCAACCCAATTTTGGTGGCCCCCAACCCCATTTTGGTGTCCCCCAACCCCATTTTGGTGGCCAAACTGGTTTTTATGGCCAATCTGATGACCCCAGACCCAATTTTGGTGGCCAAACCGGTTTTGCCGACCAATCTGATGACCCCAAACCCAATTTTGGTGACCCCCAACCCAATTTTGATGACCCCGAACCCCATTTTGGTGGCCCCAAACCCCATTTTGGTGGCCCCAAACCCCATTTTGGTGGCCCCCAACCCCACTTTGATGGTTCTCCTGACCACCCCACCGCCCCCATCCCCAATTCTGGTACCCCCCACCCCCACCCCACCACCCCACCACCCCCCACCTCCCCACCTTCACCCCCCACGCCCCCCGTGGTGGCACCGGCGCTGCTGGAGGAACGCGCCCACGGCCTGGTCACCTACCTGACGGTGGCCCGGCCCGTGCCCGCCCTGGTGGTCCGCGGGGTGCGGGACCGGCTGGTGCTGACCTACCCCCACGCCGGCCACGCGCTGAAGTCCACCAGGTTCTACCTGCTGGTGGTGGCCGGCGCCGAGCCCTGCCAGGGGCTGCTCTTCTTCCGCCAGGACCAGGCGCACATCGACCTCTTCGTCTTCTTCTCGGTCTTCTTCTCCTGCTTCTTCCTGTTCCTGGCGCTCTGCGTGCTGCTCTGGAAGGCCAAGCAGGGCCTGGACGCGCGCCACGAGCGCCGGCGCCACCGGCAGGAGATGTCCAAGATGGCGGCGCGGCCCTTCGCGCGTGTCACCGTCTGCTTTCAGTACCTTGGTTATCGGAGCTTCTCTGTGGGCCACCAGCAGAACCATCCTGTGGGTCATCAGAACCATCTTGTGGGTCATCAGAGCTCCTCCATGGGTCATCAGAACCATCTTGTGGGACACCAGGACCATCCTGTGGGTCACCAAAACCATCCTGTGGGACACCAGAGCTCCATGGGCTACCAGAACCACCCTGTGGGTCATCAGAACCATCCTGTGGGTCATCAGAGCTGCTCCGTGGGTCATCAGAACCATCCTGTGGGACACAACCACCCTGTGGGCTACCAAAACCATCCTGTGGGTCACCAGAACCACCTCATGGGACACCAGAACCATCCTGTGGGTCACCAGGACCACCCCGTGGGTCACCAGAGCTGCTCCGTGGGCCACCAGAACCTCCCTGTGGGCCACGAGAACCACCCCGTGGGTCACCAGAGCTGCTCTGTGGGTCATCAGAACCAACCCATGGGTCACCAGAACCACCCCATGGGACACCAGAGCTCCATGGGCCACCAGGACCACCCCGTGGGTCACCAGAGCTGCTCCGTGGGTCATCAGAACCAACCCATGGGCCACCAAAATCCACCTTTGAACCCCCAAACTTCACCTTTGGACCCCCAAAATCCACCTTTGGATCCCCCAAATCCCAGTTTTGGCCACCAAAATTCACCTTTGAACCCCCAAACTTCACCTTTAGATCCCCAAACTTCACCTCTGAACCCCCAAACTTCACCTTCGGACCCCCCAAATCTCCGTTTTGGCCACCAAAATCCACCTTTAGACCCCCAAACTTCATCTTCGAACCCCAAAACTTCACCTTTGAACCCCCAAAATCCACCTCCGAACCCCCAAAATCTGCCTTTGAACCCCCAAACGTCACCTTTAGACCCCCAAAATCCACCTTTAGACCCCCCAAATTCCCATTTTGGTCCTCAAAATCCACCTCTGAACCCCAAAACGTCACCTTTAGACCCCCAAAATCCCCGTTTTGGCCACCAAACTTCACCTCGGGACCCCCCAAATCCACCTCCGGACCCCCAAACTTCACCTTTAGACCCCCCAAATCCCCGTTTTGGCCCCCCAAATCCACCTCCGAACCCTCAAAATCCGCCTTTGAACCCCCAAACCTCACATTTACATCCCCAAATTTCACCTTTAGACCCCCAAAATCCCCGTTTTGGCCACCAAAATCCACCTTTAGACCCCCCAAATTCCCGTTTTGCCCCCCCAAATCCACCTCTGAACCCCCAAAATCCCCGTTTTGCCCCCCCAAATCCACCTCTGAACCCCCAAACTTCCCCTCGGGACCCCCAAATTCCCCGTTTTGGCCACCAAAATCCACCTTTAGACCCCCAAAATCCACTTTTGGACCCCCCAAACCCCCGTTTTGGTCACCAAAATCCACCTCTGAACCCCCCAAATCCACCTCGGGACCCCCAAACTTCCCCTTTAGACCCCCAAACTTCACATTGGGACCCCAAAAATCCCCGTTTTGGCCACCAAAATCCCCGTTTTGGTCCTCAAAATCCACCTCTGAACCCCCAAAATCCACCTCCGAACCCCCAAAATCCACCTTTGAACCCCCAAACTTCATCTTCGAACCCCAAAACTTCACCTTTGAACCCCCAAAATTCCCCTCTGGACCCCCAAACTTCACCTTTGGACCCCAAAAATCCCTGTTTTGGCTCCCAAAACCCCCGTTTTGCTCCCCCAAATCCACCTTTAGACCCCCAAAATCTCCGTTTTGCCCCCCCAAATCCACCTTTAGACCCCCAAACTTCACCTTTAGACCCCCAAAATCCACCTTTGGACCCCCAAAATCCCCGTTTTGGCCCCCAAAATCCCCGTTTTGACCACCCAAATCTCCGTTTTGCCCCCCCAAATCCACCTCCGAACCCCCAAACTTCACCTCGGGACCCCCAAAATTCCCCTCTGGACCCCCAAAATCCCCCTGGGGACCCCCCAAACCGCCGTGTCTCCCACCCAAACCCCCCTCCGGACCACCGCAAGGCGCCCCAATCTCTGCCGGGACCCCCCAAACTGCAGCCGGGACCCCCCAAACCCCCTCGGGGTGCCCCGGGCGGGGGTCCCGGGGCGGCCCCGGTGACGCTGGAGCCCACCGAGGACGGGCTGGCGGCGGTGGCCACGCTGCTGCTGCAGCTGCCCGGGGGTCCCGGGGGTCCCCCCCGAGCCGCGCTGGGCTCGGCGCTGGTGGTCCTCAGGGGGGCGGGGCCGGGGGCGGGGCCGGGGGCAGAAAGGGGCGGGGCTTCCAGGAAAGGGGCGGGGCCGGCGGGGCTGGAGCTCACCGCTATGGGCAGCTGAAAATTCACTTTTTTGGGCAAATTTGGGGTTTTTTTTAGGGTTTATTTCGATTTTTTTTGGGTTTTATTTCGGTTTTTTTGGGGATTTAATTGGGAATTTTTGGGGGATTTTTTTCTGGATTTTTTGAGATTTTTTTCTGGGTATTTTTGGGATTTTTTTGGGGTTTTTTACGGTATTTTTAGGATTTTTTTAGGGTTTTTTTCTGTATTTTTTGGGATTTTTTTTTCGAGGATTTTTTGAGATTTTTTTTCTGAATTTTTTTTGATTTTTAAGTTTTTTTGGGAGATTTTTTTGGGGTTTTTTTCTGTATTTTTTGGGATTTTTTTCGGGGATTTTTTGAGTTTTTTTCTGAATTTTTCCAGATTTTTAAGATTTTTTTGGGATTTTTTTTTTAGGATTTTTTTCTGGGTTTTTTTTTTATTTTTAGGATTTTTTTGGGGATTTTTTTTTTTAGGGTTTTTTTCTGCGCTTTTGGGGATTTATTTTTTTTTTCTTATTTTTTTCGGGGAGATTTTTAGGACTTTTTTTCTGTATTTTTTCGGGATTTTTGGGAAGTTTCTGTGGAATTTTGGGGATTTTTTTCTGAGTTTTTTCGGGATTTTTTAACATTTGGTTCTGTATTTTTGGGGGATATTTTGGGATTTTTTGGAGGGATTTTTGGGGATTATTTAGGGAATTTATATCAGGATATTTTTAGGATTCCCCCCGGATTTTATTTGGATTTTTGGGCCGTTTTTCCGGGGGATTTTAGAGAGATTCGGGTTCGTTTTTGGGGGAAAATCCCGAATTTCGGGCCCAGCGCTGGTATTTTTTCAGTATTTTTTAAAATTTTATTTCGATTTTTTGAGATTTTTTCTCTGTGGTTTTTTTGGGGTTTTTTTCTGATATTTTAGGATTTTTTTTCCTGGATTTTTTTGTATAATTTTTTGGTATTTTTTGAGAGTTTTTTCTGTATTTTTGGGGATTTCTTGAGATTTTATTTCGATTTTTTTGGGATTTTTTTTTTCTGTAATTTTTTGGGAATTTTTTTCTTTTTTTTTTTCGGGATTTTAATATTTTATTTTATTTTATTTTATTTTATAAGACTTTTAGGATTTTTTTCTGGGATTTTGGGGGATTTTTTTGGATTTTTTTTGGAATTTTGGGGGAAATTTGGGAGGAATTTCAGGGAGATTTTTGGCGCCAAAAGCCCATAACAATCAATTACTTAATTAACTACTTAATAAATATTTATTAATTTTGGGGGAGGGTCCCGGGTCCTTCCCCTCCCCCCCTCAATAAACGCTGCTGCCCCTCCCCCCCGCGTGGCTTCTTTAATTAGCACCGGTAATTAGGGGGGGGGTTAATTAGCGCCGTTAATTAGGGGGGGGTTAATTAGCGCGGTTAATTAGGGGAGGGGGTTAATTAGAGGAGGGGGCTTAATTAGGGTGGTTAATTTGGGGAAGGGGTTTAATTAATGGGGTTTATTAGGGGACAGATTTTAATTAGGGGGTTAATTAGTGGGGTTAATTAGGGGAGGGGGTTTAATTGGGGGGTTAATTAGGGGAGGGACTTAAAAAGGGGCGGAAATGCCCCAAAACCCAAAAAAAATTTCCCAAAATTCTCCCAAAATCCCCCAAAATTCCCCCAAAATCACTCAGGACCCTCAAAATTCCTGAAAATTCCCAAAAAACTCCCAAAATTCTCCAAAATTTGCCAAAATCCCGCAAAATTCCCCCCAAAATCCTTGAAAATTCCCCCAAATTTTCCCCAAATCCCCAGAAATTCCCGAAAAATTCCCCCAAATTCTCCCAAAATCCCTGAGAATTCCCAAAAATCCCCAAAACTTCCCCAAAATCCCCAAAAATTCATTCGAAATTCCCAAAAATCCCCAAAACGTCCCAAAAATTCGCCCCAAAATCCCTGAAAATTCCCCCAAAATCCCCCAAAAATTCCCCAAAGTCCCAAAAAATACCCAAAAAAGTCTCCAAAAATCCCCCAAAAATCCTCAATTTTCCTCCCAGGTGACGTCATGGGCGGGGTCATGACGTCACAGACGACTCGATGACGTCACGAATTTGGGGGAATTTTATTGAATTTTGGGGGGATTTTGGAGAATTTCGGGGAAATTTCGGGAATTTTGGGGAAATTTCGGGGATTTTGGGGAAATATCCGAAGATTTGAGGGAATTTTTGGAATTTATTGGGATTTTGGCGATTTTTCAGGGATTTTCGGAGGATTTTTGGGGAATTTTCGGGTTATTTTTTGTGGCTTTTTGGAAAATTTTCGGGATATTCTTTTGAAAATTCGGGATTTTTTGGGGGGGAATTTTTGGAATTTTTCCGGGATATTTTTGGAGAATTTTCCCGGATTTTTTTGTGGGGAAATTTCGGGATTTTTTTTTTTTTTTCCTCAGGATTTTTTGGGGGATTTTTTTGCGGATTTTTTTTCGGGACTTTTTTGGCGTGTTTTGGGATTTTTTGATTATTTTTTCTTTTTTTCAGGAATTTTTTGCCGAATTTTCGGGGGTTTTTTTTGCGAATTTTCGGGATTTTTTGCGAATTTTCGGGGGGTTTTTTTTGCTCATTTTCCGGATTTTTTTGTGAATTTTCGGGGCGGTTTTTTTTGCTCATTTTCTGGATTTTTTGCTCATTTTCGGGGCGTTTTTTTTGCTCATTTTCGGGATTTTTTGCGAATTTTCGGTGGGTTTTTGGCGGAATTTTTTCGGGATTTTTTTTGGCGCATTTTCGGGAGTTTTTTTTGGAATTTGGGCTCCCCTCCCCCGCCCCTCCCCCGCCCCTCCCCCCCTGTTTTCCTGGACTTTGCCCCCGCCCCGCCCCCCCCGCCCCCATAAATGGTGCGGCCCGGGGGGGGGGAGGGGAAAGGAGCGGCCGCGACCATCGGTGGGTGCGGGGGGGGAACCCCAAAAATCCCCTTGGGGCGAAAATCCCAAATTTGGGGGGGGTCTGAGGGGATTTTGGGGAGAAAAATCCAAATTTTGGGGGGAAAAAATTGTAATTTTTGGGGGGGAATATCTCGATTTGGGGGGGGGGGAATATATCAAATTTTGGAGGGGAGAAATCTGAATTTTGGGAGGGGAAATTCTGGAATTTTTGGGGCTAAATCGTGGAAATTTTGGGGGTAAATCGTGGAAATTTTGGCGGATAAATTTTGGGATTTTTAGGGATAAATCTTGGGGGTTTTGGGGATAAATGCCGGGAATTTTGGGGTGAAACGCGGGGATTTTGGGGTCCCCAGGAGCAGCATGGCCCGGGCCCCCCGCGGCCGGATGGGGGCGCTGCTGCTGCTGCTGCTGCTGCTGCTGAGCGCGGGTGAGACACCCCAAATTTGGGGCCCCCCCCCCCCAAATTTCCCCCCCAAATCGTCTTCAAATCCCCCCAAAAATCCGCTTCAAAACCCCCCCAAATCTTCCCCCAAAATCCCCTCAAATTGCCCCAAAAAAATCCCCCCTAAATCCGCCCCAAAATCCTCCGAAAATCCCCTGAAATCCTCCCAAAACCCCCCAAAATTCCCAAAAAATCCCCAAATTCCCCCAAATCGCCCCAAAATCCTCCGAAATCCTCCCAAAATTCCCCAAAATCCTTCCAAAATCCCCCGAAACTCTCCCAAAATCCGCCAAAATCCCCCCCAAATCCTCCCAAAATCCCCCCAAAATCCTCCCAGACTCCCAAAAATCTCCCAAAACCCCCCAAAATCCTCCGAAAATTCCCAAAAAATCCCCAAATTCCCCCCAAATCCTCCAAAACCCTCCCGAACCCCCCCGTAATTCTCCCAAAATTCCCCCAAATCCCCCCAAAACCCCCAAAATCCCCCCAAAATCCCTCAAAATCCTCCCGAAATCCCTCCAAAATCCTCCCAGACTCCCAAAAATCTCCAAAATCCTCCCCAAAATCCTCCGAAAATTCCCCAAAAATCCCCAAATTCCCCCCAAATCCTCCAAAACCCTCCCGAACCCCCCCGTAATTCTCCCACAATTCCCCCAAAATCCCCCCCAAAGTTCCCCAAATCCCCCCAAATTCTCTCAAAATCCTCCCAAAATCCCTCAAAAACCCCCAAAATCCCCGAAAACCCTCCCAACCCCCCCCCGTAATTCTCCCAAAACACTCCGAAATTCCTCCCAAATCCCCCAAAATCTTCCAAAAACCCCCAAATTCCTCCCAAAACCCCCCCAAAACCCCCCATAATTCTCCCAAATTCCCCCCAAAATCCCCTGAAATCCTCCCCAAATCCCCCCAAAACCCCCCCAAAGTTCCCCAAATCCCCCCCAAATCCCCCGAAATCCCCACAAACTTCCCCTAAATCCCCACAAATCGACCACAACCCCCCCAAATCCCCCCAAACTCCCAAAAATCTCCCAAAATTCCCCTCAAATTGCCCCAAAATCCCCCAAATCCCCCTCAAAACCCCCATAACTCCCCCAAATCCCCCCAAATCCCCCCAAAAATCTCCAAATTCCCCCCAAAATCCCCCAAAACCCTCCCGAAACCCCCCGTAATTCTCCCAAAATTCCCCCCAAATCCCCCCCAAATTCCCCAAATCCCCCCCAACTCTCGGCCCCTCCCCCGCAGCCGCTGCCGCCCCCCCCCCCCCCGGGCCCGCCCCTCCCCCCCCCGGGCCCGCCCCTCCCCCCCCGGGGGCGCTGGGGCAGCTCCGGGGTTACCTGGGCCAGGTGGGCTCGGCCGCCGGGAACCTCCTGGGGGGGCTGGACCTGCCCTCGGCGCCGCAGCGCATCCGGTAAGGAGCCCCAAAAACACCCGAAAATACCCCAAAAACAACCCAAAAATCACAGAGCCAGCCGAAAAAAAAAACAGGACAAAAAAACCCCAAAAACACCCCAAAAACACCCCAAAAACACCCCAAAAATAACCCAAAAACACACCAAAAACACCCCAAAAATCACAGAGCCAGCCGAAAAAAAACAGGACAAAAAAACCCCCAAAAACACCCCAAAAACACCCCAAAAATACCCCAAAAAAACCCCAAAAACAACCCAAAAATCACAGAGCCAGCCGAAGAAAACCGAGAAAAAAACCCCCAAAAATCACAAAGGCACCCGAAAAAAAACCGAGAAAAAAAACCCCAAAAACACCCCAAAAACACCCCAAAAACAACCCAAAAACAACCCAAAAACACCCCAAAAATCACAGAGCCAGCCCAAAAAAAACCCGAGAAAAAAACTCCAAAAAATACCCCAAAAATCACAGAGGCACCCGAAAAAAAACAGGACAAAAAAACCCCAAAAACACCCCAAAAACACCCCAAAAATCACAAAGGCACCAAAAAAAATCCCAGAAAAAAAAACCCCAAAACCACCCCAAAAAAACCCCCAAAAACAACCCAAAAATCACAGAGCCAGCCGAAAAAAACCAGGAAAAAAAACCCCCAAAACACCCCAAAAACACCCCAAAAATCACAGAGCCAGCCGAAAAAAATCCCCCAAAAAAACCCCCCAAAAATCACAAAGGCACCCGAGAAAAATCCCCCCAAAAACACCCCAAAAATCACAGAGCCACCCAAAAAAACCCGAGAAAAAAACCCCCAAAAATCACAAAGTCACCCAAAAAAATGCCCCCCAAAACACCCCAAAAATCACAGAGCCACCCGAAAAAAATCCCCCCAAAAAAACCCCAAAAATCACAAAACCGCCCAAAAAAATCCCCCCAAAACACCCCAAAAATCACAAAGGCACCCGAAAAAACCTGAAAAAAAACACCATAAAAAACCCCCCAAAAATCCCAAAACGCGCACTGAAAAATAAAAAAAGCAAAAAAAAAAAACCAAACAACCAAAATTGGGGCTTTTCCTCCAAAATTGGTTTTTTTTCCCCCAGAAATCTGGATATTTTTCCCCCAAAATCAGAATTTTTTCCCCCAAAATCCGATTTTTTTTTCCCCTCCAAAATCTGGAAATTTTTCCCCCAAAATCTGAATGTATTTTCCCCCAAAATCCAGATATTTTCTCAAAATAATTGTGTTCTGTCCCCCAAGTATTTGAGTTTTTCCCAAAAAAATGTGGTTTTTTCCCCCAAAACTTGGGTTTTTCCCCCAAAAATTGTTTTTTTTTCTCCAAAATAATTGGGGTTTTTCCCCAAAAAAATTGGTTTTTTTCCCTCAAAAAATTGGTTTTTTTCCCCAAATAATTGGGGTTTTTTCAAAAAAAAAAAAAAAGAATTTTTTTTAAAAAAAATTGGGGTTTTTTCCAAAAAAAATTGGGTTTTTTCCCCCAAAATCCGGGTTTTTTTCCCCAAAATCCGTGATTTTTTCCCCCAACCCCCTAAATTCGTTATTTTTGGGGAAATGACCCAAAATCGGGTTTTTTTGCCCCAGGACGGCGTACGAGCAGAGCGTGACGGCCGCGGTCACCTACAGCGGGATCCTGACGGACCAACTCTACCACTGGTGGCAGGGGGAGCAGTGACCCCAAAAATGACCCAAAATCACCCCAAAAATGACCCCAAAAATGACCCCAAAAATGACCCCGAAATTTGGGGGAACCCAAAATTTGGGGAAATCCAAAATAAAGGCTCTGGAATGGAAAAAAATGGGAAAAAATGGGTGGAAAATGAAAAAAAAATGGGTGGAAAATGAAAAAATTGGGGAGGGGGGAAATGAAAAAAAAATGGGGGAAAAAGGAAAAAATGGGTGGAAAATGGAAAAAATGGGTGAAAAAGACCAAAAAATGGGGGTGAAAAACAGCAAAAAAATGGGGGTGAAAAATGAAAAATAATGATGAAAAGTAGCCCAAAAATGGAGGGGGAAAAAGGGAAAAATGGGGGTGGAAAATGAAAAAAAATGGGTGGAAAAATGAAAAAAACGGGTGGAAAATGAAAAAAACAGGGTAAAAAAATGAAAAAAATGGGGTGAAAAAGGAAAAAAAAATGAGGAAAATGAGCTCAAAAATGGAGGTGAAAAAAGGGGGAAATGGGTTTGAGAAATGGAAAAAAATGGGGTGGAAAATGAAAAAATGGGGTGAAAAAGGAAAAAAATGGGTGGAAAATTAAAAAAATGGGTGGAAAATGAAAAAAATAGGGGTGAGGAATATAAAAAAATGGGGTGAAAAACACCAAAAAATGGGGGTGAAAAACAGCAAAAAAATGGGGGTGAAAAATGAAAAATAATGATGGAAAGTAGCCCAAAAATGGATGTGGAAAAAGGGGAAAATGGGGGTGAAAAGGGGAAAAAAATGGGGTGGAAAATGAAAACATGGGGTGAAAAAGGAAAAAATGGGGGTGAAAAAGGAAAGAAAATGAGGAAAATGAGCTCAAAAGTGGAGGTGGAAAAAGGGAAAAATGGGATTGAAAAGGGTCCAAAAATGGGGTGAAAAAGGAAAAAATGGGGTGAAAAACACCAAAAAATGGGGGTGAAAAATGAAAAAAATGGGGAAAAGTAGCCCAAAAATGGAGCTGGGACACCCCAAATCTCACCTGGGACCCCCCAAATCCCACCTGGGACACCCCAAATCCCACCTGGGACCCCCCAAATCTCACCTGGGACACCCCAAATCCCACCTGGGACACCCCAAACCCACCTGGGACACCCCAAATCCCACCTGGGACACCCCAAACCCCACCTGGGACACCCCAAACCCCACCTGGGACACCCCAAATCTCACCTGGGACCCCCCAAAGTTCACCTGGGACACCCCAAAGTTCACCTGGGACCCCCAAATCTCACCTGGGACCCCCCAAACCCCACCTGGGACCCCCCAAAATTCACCTGAGACACCCCAAATCTCACCTGGGACACCCCAAACCCCCTCTGGGACCCCCCAAACCCACCTGGGACACCCCAAATCTCACCTGGGACACGCCAAAATTCACCTGGGACCCCCCAAATCTCACCTGGGACCCCCAAACCCCACCTGGGACCCCCCAAATCCCACCTGGGACACCCCAAATCCCACCTGGGACACCCCAAATCCCACCTGGGACACCCCAAATCCCACCTGGGACACCCCAAACCCCACCTGGGACACCCCAAACCTCACCTGGGACACCCCAAACTCACCTGGGACACCCCAAACTCACCTGGGACACCCCAAACCTCACCTGGGACACCCCAAAATTCACCTGGGACACCCCAAACCCCACCTGGGACACCCCAAATCCCACCTGGGACCCCCCAAACCCACCTGGGACACCCCAAATCTCACCTGGGACACCCAAATCTCACCTGGGACCCCCCAAACCCCACCTGAGACCCCCCAAACCCCACCTGGGACACCCCAAAGTTCACCTGAACACCCCAAACCTCACCTGGGACCCCCAAACCCACCTGGGACACCCCAAAGTTCACCTGAACACCCCAAATCTCACCTGGGACACCCCAAAGTTCACCTGGGACCCCCCAAAATCCACCTGTGACCCCCCAAAATTCACCTGAGACCCCCCAAACCCCACCTGGGACCCCCCAAACCTCACCTGGGACACCCCAAACCCCACCTGGGACCCCCCAAACCCCACCTGGGACACCCCAAAGTTCACCTGGGACCCCCCAAACCCACCTGGGACCCCCAAAATCAGACGAGGCCTTTAGAAAACAGCTTTAATGGGGGGCACAGGTAATAAATAGGGGCTCAGGTGGGCACAGGTGTGGCCCAGGTGGGCACGGCTGTGCCAGGGTTCGCTCAGGTGCAGTTCAGGTGTGCCCAGGTGTGGCTCAGGTGGGCTCAGGTGTGGCTCAGGTGCACTCAGGTGAAGCTCAGGTGAAGTCTCAGCTGTGCCCAGCTGTGCCCAGGTGTGCCCGTGGGGTCTCTCAGGTGGGCTCAGGTGCACTCAGGTGAGTCTCAGGTGTGCCCAGGTGAGGCTCAGCTGTGCCCAGGTGTGCCCAGGTGTGCCCAGGTGTGCCCAGGTGCACTCAGGTGTGCCCAGGTGCACTCAGGTGAGTCTCAGCTGTGCCCAGGTGATCCCAGGTGTGCCCAGGTGTGCCCCAGGTGTGCCCAGGTGTGCCCAGGTGCGCTCAGGGGAGTCTCAGCCGTGCCCAGGTGATCCCAGGTGTGCCCAGGTGTGCCCCAGGTGTGCCCAGGTGTGCCCAGGTGCGCTCAGGGGAGTCTCAGCCGTGCCCAGGTGTGCCCAGGTGTACCCAGGTGCACTCAGGTGAAGCTCAGATGAAGCTCAGGTGCGCTCAGGTGAGTCTCAGCTGTGCCCAGGTGTGGCTCAGGTGTGCCCAGGTGTACCCAGGTGCACTCAGGTGAAGCTCAGATGAAGCTCAGGTGCGCTCAGGTGAGTCTCAGCTGTGCCCAGGTGTGGCTCAGGTGTGCTCAGGTGTGGCTCAGCTGTGCCCAGGTGTGCCCATGGGGTCTCTCAGGTGTGCTCAGGTGCAGTTCAGGTGTGCCCAGGTGTGCCAGGTGTGCCCAGGTGTTCCCAGGTATACCCAGCTGTGCCCAGGTGTGCCCAGGTGCACTCAGGTGAATCCCAGGTGCACTCAGGTGAATCTCAGGTGAAGCTCAGGTGAATCCCAGGTATACCCAGGTGCACTCAGGTGCGCTCAGGTGAATCTCAGCTGTGCCCAGGTGTACCCAGGTGTGCCCAGGTGTGCCCAGGTGCCATTCAGCTGTGCCCAGCCGTGCCCAGGTGTGCCCAGGTGTGGCTCAGGTGAATCTCAGCTGTGCCCAGGTGTGCCCAGGTGCGCTCAGGTGCGGCAGCAGAAGCCGCAGCCGCGGTTCCGGCAGCAGCCGCAGCAGAAGGAGCAGAGCGGGAAGTGGGGGCTGTGGCGGCGCCGCCGCGCCCAGGTGAGCGCCAGGTGAGGGGGCGGGGCCTGGGCGGGGCCGGCAGGTGAGGGCACCTGGGGAACAAAAATCCAGGTGTGAATCCCTGAGAACCCCCAAATCCAGGTGAGAATTATCTGGGAACACCTGAAATCCAGGTGAGAATTATCTGGGAACACCTGGAATCCAGGTGAGGTTACCTGGGAGACCCCAAATTCCAGGTGTGAACACCTGAGAACCCCAAAATCCAGGTGTGAATCCCCCCCAAATTCCAGGTGTGAACACCTGGGAACACCTGAAATCCAGGTGAGGTTACCTGGGAACCCCAAAATCCAGGTGAGAATTATCTGGGAACACCTGGAATCCAGGTGAGGTTACCTGGCAGACCCCAAAATTCCAGGTGAGAATTATCTGGGAAACCCCAAAATTCCAGGTGTGAATACCTGGGAACCCCAAAATTCCAGGTGAGAATTATCTGGGAACCCCAAAATCCAGGTGTGAACACCTGGGAAACCCCAAATCCAGGTGTGGGATCACCTGGAATCCAGGTGTGAATCCCTGAGAACCCCCAAATTCCAGGTGTGAATCCCTGAGAACCCCCAAATTCCAGGTGAGACTCACCTGTCCCCCCAAATTCCAGGTGAGGTTACCTGGGAACCCCAAAATTCCAGGTGTGAACACCTGAGAACCCCAAAATCCAGGTGTGAACACCTGGGAACCCCAAAATTCCAGGTGAGACTCACCTGTCCCCCCAAATTCCAGGTGAGCTCCCCCTGCCCATCCCCCACCGGGCCCGGGAATTTCGGCTCCAACGGCGGCACCTGAGGCTGGGGGGGGAGGGGACAGGTGTGACCCCAAATCCAGGTGTGACCCCCCCAAATCCAGGTGTGACCCCCCAAATCCAGGTGTGACCCCAAAATCCAGCTGTGCCCTCCCAAATCCAGCTGTGCCCCCCCCCAAAATCCAGATGTGCCCCTCACCTGCGCCAGGTGTGACCCCCCAAAATCCAGCTGTGCCCCCCAAATCCAGGTGTGCCCCCCAAAATCCAGATGTGACCCCCCCAAAATCCAGCTGTGTCCCCAATCCAGCTGTGCCCCCCCCAAATCCAGCTGTGACCCCCCCAAATCCAGGTGTGAACCACCTGAATCTCCCCAAATCCAGATGTGAACCTCCAAATCCAGATGTGACCCCCAAATCCAGGTGTGCCCCCCAATCCAGGTGTGAATCCCCCCCAAATCCAGCTGTGCCCCCAATCCAGATGTGCCCCTCACCTGCGCCAGGTGTGACCCCCAAATCCAGGTGTGACCCCCAAAATCCAGATGTGCCCTCACCTGCGCCAGCTGTGCCCCCCCAAATCCAGGTGTGACCCCCCAAATCCAGGTGTGACCCCCCAAATCCAGATGTGACCCCCCAAAATCCAGATGTGCCCCCCAAAATCCAGATGTGCCCCTCACCTGCGCCAGATGTGCCCCCCAAATCCAGGTGTGACCCCCCAAATCCAGGTGTGCCCCCCAAAATCCAGGTGTGACCCTCACCTGTGCCAGGTGTGACCCCCCCAAATCCAGGTGTGACCCCCCAAATCCAGGTGTGAGCCCCCCAAAATCCAGGTGTGACCCCCCCAAATCCAGGTGTGCCCCCCCAAATCCAGGTGTGCCCCCCCAAATCCAGCTGTGCCCCCAAATCCAGGTGTGACCCCCCAAATCCAGGTGTGACCCCCAAATCCAGCTGTGCCTCCCCCAAATC